CCCAGGAATGCTCTACCACTGAGATACACCCTCAACTTTTTAATTTTTAAATTTTGAGACAGGTCTTGCTAAGTTGCTGAGGCTGGCCTCATATTTGCAATCCTCCTGCCTCAGGCTCCCCAGAAGTTGGGATTATAGGCAAATGCCATTGTGCCCAGCAGTGATGTTCCTAGGGGGATTTGTGTAGTGTTATAGAACTGGAACACATGGTTTCTAAGAATCCTTCAACTACATGTTCAAATAAGGCCTCGCTAACTAAAACCTGCTACTCTTACATGTCTTCTAGGACATCTACCATGTTTATAATTAGAATTACTTTTTCAGCTAAGGCATTATCCTCAAAAAAGGAACTGAAGATATATCCCATGACATTTTCCTAGAAGACTAAACCCAGCAGATGTTGTTGGTACCCTACATAGTCCCCTCATCATTCACCATTCTCAAACATGCCATGCAGACTTGTTATAAGCACCCCAAATTCTCTACCTCAGGGTTTTCCTTTGATTCATTCTCACAGTGTAGGCCGGAAGTGCCAGAAAGTTAACATCCTTGGAAGCACACTCTAGCTAATGACAGATACTAACCAGAAGACAAATATTTCTGCTTTCAGAGCTATCCCAAACAAGATGACGGAAGCAGGAATGGATCCAAGTTGCCCACTGGGGTCACCTGTCCTTTATTTAATACACCCTTTATTGCTTTTCTCCAACCTTTCTGTCTCATTTCCCCAAATCCTTACTGGTACTTTCAGGGATCACCTCCAAAATGAAATAGTTGTTCTCAAGGCCCTGTCTCAGAGTCTATTTTTGAGGAAACCCATATCTGAACCTTGGCATTATTGACATTTTGGCCTGGAGAATTCTTTCTTTGGGCCACAAAATCAAACCCAGCTGAGAAGCACTGTTTGCTTGAGGTGCCTGTGGGAAGCTTGTGTGGAGGGGTAGGTCTGAGGCAGGCCTGTTGGGGTGGGCTGTGGGCTAGCTTAAGTTTAATGGAGGGCACAGGTGGGGTGAGGAGGAGGGTGTGTGTGTGTGTGTGTGTGTGTGTGTGTGTGTAGCTCTTCCTATTTCATAACTGTTCCTGCTGCCAAGCAGTTGCTTGTCCAAAATAGATAAACAGCTTAGAACTAAACTCTGTACCCCTATAGTTCCTTTCAGAAAAATGAGAAGCATGCAGAGACCATTTTGCTGTTTGTGTAACATCAGTTTTCAGGTGAATTCGGTTTGGATGACAGGCCCTTAAGCAGTCACTTCACAGCCTGTCAGTTTCTGGGTTGCTAGGATGTTTTGACTTTTAAGTACTATGTGAGCTATTAAAAAATCAATATGTGGTTCCACTATGGGGAATGCTGTCAATCAGAGTAAAGGGTCAGATAAAAGATGCAAATGTCTTCTTACCTGAAGCCTTGGGCTTGATTTGGCTGGTGTATATGCAAAAGAAACCCTTGAAGAAGATTAGATAGACTTTCAGGGATGACAAAGGAGATTGCAGATGTTTAAGATTGCACCCCAAGCCCTGTATCCCCTGTAAATAGAAGCAGTAAAGAGGAACAAATGTGGATTAATACCTATGATAAAGTATATTATTCATTAGATTCCTGGTATAAAGGTTCTGATTAAAGTTCCTCATTACCACTGAATTCTGAGACCTCCCAAGGTCAATCAGTATAGCAAGCTGGTGCTGGATACTGGACATGCCCTGCCCAAATCTACTTGGATCCCTTCCATTAGTTTGGTGTGCTCTGCACCCAGGGTCAGTGTGCTTTTCTGATAATGATTGGCACCTGTGACCTTCTTTGGCACCTTGCTCTTTGTTTAATGGAGTTGTCTTACCTATATATAGACTCTGGGAGTTTATATCACCCTAGGTAAGCCCACAGTCAATGGGAAGGAATAGGAAAGCCCAAATCCCTTGCCTCATGCTGAAATAAATTCTTGGTGTAACTTATACTCCGGACCTCACCTTAGGATTAGGAAAAAGCTGAGACTTTTCCTGAAATTGCAGCCTTACATCTTGACTTCCTTTCTTTCTCTGTCCTGCAATCCCTATGCATTTTTTTTTTGGCTCTTTGGGAGCACTTTCCCCATAAATCAGTTATACAAGAATCCTCATATCAGTATCTGCTTCTGGAGAATCAGACTGAACACATACGAATTCCAAGTTCGACATTTGAGTTGAAGGAGCGGTCAATTCTATTAGTTGCACGAAGTGTTCCAGAATCTTACCATTTCCTACGAGGTAGGAAGCCATGAGATGTTTCTTGTTGTAACTGGGAATGACCTTGGGCTATAAAACTGCCACAAAGTACCTCAGGAGATGCTGTGGAAGCATGTTTAGCCAACAGAAGGAAGAAAAGCTTGCTCATGTTTCAAGTGAGTTGGATTTTGGACATCCAAGTTGCGCCTCTCTGCTTTCCTGCTCAAAAGTCACAGAAATGATTAAGGCAAACCGGTCTATAGTGAGGAAACTTGGATCAAAAACATATTGGTATCTGCTCCTGATACTTCTTAGGGTTTCAGAGGCTCTTCACAATTTTATTGTAAAACCAATATGTCATTTCTTAGCTCCTTTTACTCATTTGACACTGTCTTCTCATGCATTATATCATTTAATCTTTGTAGTACACTCATGAGATATTAACATTCCCATTTGACAGGCAAGAAAGTTGAGGTTCAAACAAACAGGTTATGCTATCTGCCTCAGGTTGCACTCATGGTTGAATGCCAAAGCTGGGATTTAAGCCCATTTCAGTCTGATTCTGACAACAAGGTACTTAACCACCCACTAGAGTGTGACTCTGATGCTGGCCCCCTTTTCTCCAAAGTGATGAAGGAAAGATTTGTCAACATTTGCACAAAGCAGAAAACTATCTCATCTGGGAAGGTTTACACAGACATTTTTCTTTACCAAGAGAAATAAGGAAATGTATAGGAAATTGAAATATAGTAAATGAGCCTGACATGTTATGATACAGATAATATTTTATATGGTGAAGTTTTCTGTAGGCTTAGCATTTTTTTCTTACAAGGCCAATATGATGATTAATGGTTCATGCGCAAGATAGAAAATGATCATTTTCTTTGCAGCCCTTTGCAAAGTATTGCATCTTCTGTAATTTCCATCCTATTTGGCCACTTGCTAGGTTATTCTTGGGTTTGAATTTCTGTTTTTCCTCTTCCTGTTCAGTCCTAGCCCCCCTTTTTTGCAATATAACCAAGGCCAAGAAGGCTGCAGAACTACTTTTGTTTTATTCAATTCCCTCAAGGACTGAAAAATGTGGCTATTCCTGAATTCTAGCAGTTTTTGCAAACCTCAAATGCAATACGAGAACACATTTGGACAACAACCTTCCATGAAAAAAAAAATCCTGTGTTTAAAATACAGGATATGTGTTCATATTTTTGCTTAAGCAGTAAAGGGAAACTATAGGCTGCTTTTTTGAAATTTTAAGGTGTCGGTTTTCAGCAACCGAAAATAAAATCTGAAAGTAGCTGCAAAAGAATTGATTTTTACTTTCATTTAGAACTAGGTCCAAAGTTTAGAGCAAAGCTCTCTTCTCTGGGGTTCAAATCTTGTTTACCCTGAACAGAATATGATTTCCTGTTTGATAGAAAACAAATGAAAATGTTGTAATTGTGAAACAGCCCTAGGCAAATGGTACTTAAGAATATAAAATGGTAAGCATGGAATCACAAAGCTGGAAGAGACCCTATGAGAATATCTAGTCCTGCCCCTCTCTTCCAATAGGGAAAAGCTAACATCCTCCATGACCATTCTATTTTATAAATTGATGTTTTTCATCTCTCATGCTGTTTATATGATGTTTCAGTTAATGGTGGAATTTCTGGAATCACAAGACAGCAGTATCTAACAAAACACCTGGTATATATGATATTCCATAGAACTTTCTAGAAGAAATGAATTCATCACTAAATAAAAAGCAAACTGGGCTTGGTGGTGTATGCTTTTAATCCCAGAGACTCAGGAGTTTGGAGCAGTAGGATCGCAAATTCAAGGACAGCCTCAGCAATTTAGTGAATCCCTCAGCAACTTAGTGATTCCCTTTCTCAAAATAGAATAAAAAGGACTGGGAATGTGGCTCAGTGGTAGAGCACCCCTGGGTTCAATCCCAAGTACAAAAAAAGATATAAAATATGAACAGATGAATAGAAAATTTATAATGGGAGCTCTGCTATGATTAATAAAATGAAAATAAATTATGCCTAAGTTCAATGTTTCACAAATTCTATTCATGTCACATTCCTTAGTGTGTTTTGTCCTTTTGAATCAGAAAGGTGCCCATGTAATATGTATTCTAAACAGGAACACTTTTGAGAGAGAAAAGGGTTACCATTAATAATTACACCAGGACGACAGGATTGCCCTAGGCAAACTGGGATTAATGGCTAATCATTGAGACAATGAGTGACCAGAGGCAGGAGAAAAAAAAAAAAAAAAAAACACTGAAATATAGGTTCTCAATTAAGAAACAAGAGAATTTAAGTCACAAACAAAGATTCAGAGGGAATTCACTGTAATACTTTTTGACATTCTTACCTCAGCTTGGAATCATAGTTAAATATGGGTCAGATAACAAATAAGGACTCCTTTCCAATAATTATGAAAGAAGGAAGGGTTAAATTCTTATCAGAAAGTAAACTGAGGGACTGAGTCTCCTGTAATCCCACCTACCTATCAAAAATGTGGTGGTGCACACCTGTAATCCTAGCAATTTAGGAGGCTGAAGCAGGAAGGTTGCAAATTGGAGGCCAGCCTGAACAGTTAAGCGAGGGCCTGTCTCAAAACAAACAAACTAACTAACTAACTAACTAAAAACAAAAAAGGGGCTAGGGATGTAGCTCAGTGGTAGAGACTCCCTGGATTCAATCCTCAGAACGGCAGGGGAAAAAAAAAAAAAAAAAACCTTAACCCTACCCCCAACGTCACACCAGCCTCTAGCCCCACCTCTTTACTCACAGCTTCCGGTATATCTCCTCAACTTTCCCCTGCTTCCGGGACGAGCCAGCATATTTTGCGTCTGCTCCGTCTTGCCACGCAGCCATGAGCACCCAGGGCCACCAAGTTTATACCCATAAGGTGCAGGCTGCCCTCGACCGCCTGATCAGCATGCACCTGCAGGCCTCCTATACCTACCTCTCTCTGGGCTTCTATTTCGAAGGAAACCGTGTGGCTCTAGAGGGCGGTTTCTTCTTCAGGTTGGCTGAGGAAAAGCGAGAAGGTGCCCATCGCCTCCTGAGGCAAAACCAGGTGAGCGACCGCTCCCTCTGCCAGGATGGGCAGAAGCTGACCCAAGATGAGTGGCATGATTGCCTGGAAGCCATGGAAGCTGCCCTGATCCTGGAGAAGAATCTGAACGAGGCCCTTTTGGATCTGCATGCCCTGGGTTTGGCTAACACAGACCCCCAACTCTGCTTTTTCCTGGAGAGCCATTTCTTAGACCAGGAAGTGCAACTCATCAAAAAGATGGGTGAGCATCTGACCAACCTTCGCAGGCTGGCCGGCCAGGATGCTGGTCTGGGCGAGTATCTCTTCAGAAAGCTCACACTCAAGGGTAGCTAGGAGCCCCCGGGGCCCGGCGGCTTTGGAGCGGCTCCTCTGTGTTCCCCTAACATCAAGATGCGCCTGAGTTTCTAGCACCAGCCAAGAGACAGCTTCTCACCACCCAGGAGCACCCGCCCAAGCCGTGGATTAAATGGAAACAAAAAAGGTTCTTTTTGCAGAGAAGGGGTAAACTTAGGCTAAGATGAAAAAAATAAGTATTCAGAATAGCATGCAGAATTTTTGGTCTGTTTATTTCTATAACCTGTTTAATTTTAATCTGTTCTTAACCTTTCTGAGTGATTTGTGGACTTTTGGGGATCCAACAAGCCGTCTTTTCTCTGTCAAGAAGAAACACACTCACCTTATTCCTAAACATTGCATATACAGTGTTGGACGTTTTGCAGTTTCTCCAAAACCATCATGAGGACTGGAATGATTGTAAAATGTATCCCTGATTTTGCCTAGCTAAAGAGTGGACTATCTGGACTACATCATACTGGACACTCCCAAAACTGTCAAATTCACAATAACAGTGTTTTTCCTGATCTTCAACTTGGTGTGATGCCATCTGCCTATTCTGAGGAATCCAAGAAGAAGTCCTGTGAAATTCATCTTTGCATCTCCCATTGGATTGCTGTTGAGAACACTGACTATAACATCATGTGCTGGTCTGTTAATGAAGCCTCTCAAGAGAAATTTTGGTCTGGACTTACTATTAGAAATAACAGTGTTCCACTTGTATGATTAGTTTGTTTTGGTTTTATGGACACTAAATGAACTAATTAACTTGCCTTTTCTGATTACCTACTAGAAAGCTTAGGACCAAATTTGTAGTCCACCCAGAGTAAATGAATAGAACTGTATTAAGTTTTGTTTTGGTGTGTGTATATGCTTCTTTCCTGATCTGTTATTAGATTCTTGGTGTATGTTATGGATCCTCTTAAACCACTTTAAACTCTTTTACATGGTTGTGTATAAATAGATAGCCAAATAAACTTTAAAATGTAGATTAAGAATGGTTCTGAAGTTTATTTTGGAGAAAAGGGAAGATAACTATAAGGAAGTGCTAAGAGAGCCAAAGTGATTAGCCTGGAGGTGGGTCAGGTGGAGGTTAAATTCCAGAAGACAGAAAAGCAGCAAATGTAACATTTTATTTAAAATATATTTCATCTTTCTCCTGAGTTATCTTCTCCTAACTTAATACATTTGGGTCCCACAGATAGCAGTATAATAAGTGTGTATTGTTTTCCTTGCACATTGAAAGGCTGGAGTTGTAGCTTTTTCTCAAATCACACAAGTGGAAAAAAAGTAATTTTCCTACAGTTTCTTTCCCTCCTGAAGTGGAAGAGCAAACATGCTATCATTTCTTTTATTCTGGAAGGGTCAGAGATATAGGGAAAATATTTTGCAGAGATTGGGACAACTGTTTTGCTTAGTAAGGAGAAAAAAATCTTTCTCTTCCTGTTTTCATGCAAGGTCATTTGATAATAAAAAAAAGAATATAATGGCAACCTGATTCCTAGCGAAAAGAGTTTTTTTTTTTGTCCATTTGCTAATAGTTGGCAATTGTCTTCAGATTTGATGTCAAAACTAATTTCTATACTTATATATTTACATAAAATATTTAAATTGGAGATTATTTTCAAATTTACATTCAAATATAAACACATAAATATTAATGATAAAAAACTGCCTAACACTGAGATCAATTGAGAGGCTGTCATTTGAGGTGCACTGTTTGGGAAGAAGTATGAAAAAATTGTTTCCAAATAATAACAGTATTTGTCAGATCATTAAAGCCTTCCAAACAGACTGACATGTTCTTTGGTCATCAAGCAATGCTTGAAAAACATCAATTTGGGGAGAAGAGAAATGATTCAAAGACGTGATAATATATTAGTTTGACTTTTGGAAATGACTTAAAGTTCCTTTTGATATGGTGGTGTATGCCTGTAATCTCAATGACTGAGGAGGCTGAAATAAATGGATTAAAAGTTTGAGGCCAGCCTCAGCAATTTGGCAAGACTCAGCAATGTAGCAGGACCTTGTCTCAAAATAAAAAAAGAAAATTAGATGTAGCTCAGTGGTAAAGCACCCCTGGGTTCAATCTGCAGTACCAAAAAAAAAAAAAAAAAAGACTTACGGTTCTTGGCAAATTTCTTTGTATAAAAATGGGGATTTCGTTTTTTATGTGGTGCTAAGGATTGAACCTAAACAATTTAGTGAGACCCTGTCTCTAAGTAAAATATAAAAATGGCTACAGATGTGGCCCAGTGGTTAGGCAGCTGTGGGTTCAGACTCTGGTACAAAAAAAGGGGGATTTTGGGACATTATATTTCTAAAGATTAATTTGGAAACAAATCCCAGAATGTTTTCCTATATGGAGAAACATGGTATGTGTACTTGCACAGAGAATTATAAAATGATTTTTGTAGGCTTTGGATAAATTTCTTATACCACCCTTTATTGATCTCCTTGGTCTGCCATGTCTAATTTGCCTTTTAAATTGAATTTTCTATTACTTTCCCATTGTTGAAATTTTGAGGGTGTCAATTGCTCATCTTTTCATCCAAGTTCAGAACAGACAAGAAGCCAGAGGAAAATCAAGATAGCTTTGCTCATAGTTAAGCTAAATTGGAGAATGTGGTATGGCTTTCCACTGCCACACCCTGAGTTAAACTAAACTACCTAGTTCCAAGAAGTGAAGCTGGGATAGAAAGAGCAGTAACTAGGCTGGTATGGCCAGGGGTAGGTTCAGTCTTTTCAGTTAACCCCATGGAGACCCAAGGAAACACTGGTGGCCCAAAGGATGTGGGGAGGGTGTAGCAGGTCCAATCGCTTTGTCCCTGCAGTGATCCTGTGCCCTGGCCAATCAATATCAGGCTGTCAGAATTCTCCACATTGACCTCTCTATCCACCTCTGAGGGTTTAGTTCAAACCTGCCTTCTGTGAAATTTTCTCTGGCCAACCCAGTCATCTGGAATGTATTCATCTCTTAGTTGTCTTATGGCAACTATTAGACTGTAGGCAAATTGAAAGCTGGAATATCAATGGCACACTGGTTGAGTGATGGGCTCTGGGCCAGACTACCTGTGTTGAAATACTGCCTCCACTTTTAACTGATCTTGGCCAATTTCTTCACTTTTCCCAGTTCCAGCTTCTTCATCTGAAAAACAGGATATGATCATAATAATGATCCAACTAATGATCATAATGCTATCCAACTCATATAATATACTGAATATTAAATGAGACAAGCTATGTAGAGCTCCTAAGGAATGGCCCAGCACATTCTAAATGCACAAAAAATATTATTTTAATCAACTGACTTTGCATTTGAGCTATGCTAGTAACATCTCTAAATAAGCTTGCTTCTCAGTTTCAGGGAAATAGAAACTTTAGATTCTATTTTCCCCCTTAATAATCCCTTCCTCTCTCTAAATAGACCCTATGTGTGGAAGTAAAATATAGGAATTTGCTCATTTTCTTGGATGTGATCTTCAGTGAGTAGAAGCAGATGAAGGAGGACCACTCTCTCTTCTACCATATAAATTGAGCCACATTATTTAGGACCTAGGATTAATTGTTTTAATTACCACACCACTAAAAGCAGGCAAGACAGCATTTTAATCTCTCTCTCCGGAAGAACAAGCTGTACAAAGGGGTCATTTCCAAGCTGAAATGAATTAAGTGCTGGGTGCTAACCTTTACAAAGTTGCCACTTCTTGGAAGTCTTCTCCACCCATTCTTTTCTCCCACACTTCCTTCTCCTTCCACTTTGTGATAGCCTTGGATAATCCATGTCAGCATGAGGGAGCAGGAACTGAATAGGCAGTCAAAACTCCAAACCTCACTAAAGCCTTGACCTCCTTTGCACTAGGGCTTGGTTAAAGCTCTTGCTTTGAGGATTCTATGTGGTTGACTTTCCTTAGAGATTGGATTGCAAATGTACTTATTTAGAAGAGGAGACAAATAAAAGAAATAAAGACAAAAGAATAAAATACAAAAAATAGAGGAGAAAAATGGCCTTACCACCTTCTTGTCATTATTTATCCCTGTCAGTCATTTATTCACCTTGATAGGTGATTTATGCATCACCATCATAATAAAGCAGACACTAGTCCATGGGTGAATGGAGACATACATCAGGAATTAACATAAGGTTTCAGTTAAGTCTAAACTCCCCAAGAAGCAGACATGCTCAAGGATTTTATCAATCCTTATAACTAAATTAGGGATCATAGGAAGAAGCAAAGAAAAATTAATGTAGTTTTGGTCTGGAATGTCCCCCCAAATCTCATATGTTAAAGGCTTTTTCACCAGCTGGGGTACTGTTAGAAGGTGGTGAAAACCTTAGGAGGAGTGGCTTCATTGAAGAAAGCAGGTCATTGGAGGCATGTCCTTGAGGGTATATTTTGTCCCTAACCCTTCTCCCTCTCTCTCTGCTTCCTGGTAGCCATGAGGCAAGCAACTTTGCTCTACTGTGTGCTCTCCACCATGATGTTGAGACTTCCATCAGGCCCAAATGATGGGGCCAAGTAACCATGGACTGAAGACTTTGAAACCATAAGCCAAAGTAAACTTTTCCTCCTCAATTTGATTTATCTCAGGTATTTTGTCATAGCAATAGAAAACTGACTAATACAACCTAAATTTTGCAAGAAAACCTCACCCCCCTACAGCTATATACAATGTCTGGTCAAAGTTAAGGGAGCCCTGGGCAGAGGCAGGTATTCTGGGGTTTAAAAAATCAACCACTTATTCTTGTCATAAATTCATACAGTGAATCTCACCATGAGAAAACATCACATAGATCTACCTTGAAGGGAATTCTATAAAATTACTAGCTTATAATCATCAAAACTGTCAGGATCAAGAAAGAAAGAAAAAGACTGAGGAACTGTCCCAGGTTAAAGAAGAATACAAAGTATGACAATTAAATGAGTGAGCCTGGATTGAATCAGTTTTGGCAAAAAAAACTATTAAGAAAATTGAGACATTTTGCATACAGACTATACATTATGTAATGATGTTATATCAATGGTAAATATTCTGATTTGGATAATTGCATGGTTGTTAAGTAGAATAATGTCCTTGCTTTTAGAAAACACACACTAAAGTGTTTAGGAGTAGTTAACTAGGCAAAATATTTCCAAATTACAAATGGTTAAGAAAAACAAAGAAAAAAATTGGTGAATCTGGGTGAACAGAAGTTCTTGTAGTATTTATTGCAACTTTTCTGTAAGTTCAAAATTATATCTAAGTAAACTTATTTATAATTATATATTTTAATTTATAAAATTATAAGTTATTTATAAAAATTATTGTATCTAAATAAAAGTTGTCACTAAAAAGTGAATCTTAGATCATTTAGATTTGATTGGTTCCAACCACTCATGGTTATACTTCCTCTGTATGTGGCACCTGCGATGTCACTTCTCATTGCAGGAGGTGAAGAGTCCGTCAAAAGAGGTGCAAGGGTTTGGTTATTTATTTATTGCTTTTTTGTTAAGTTAGTAATTATTTGGGCTGGAAATGTAGCTTAGTGTTAGAGCACTTGCCTAGCATGCATGAAGCCCTGAGTTCAAACCCCAGCACACACACACACACACACACACACACAAGCTTAAGTCTCCTGCTGGACTATGAACAGGATTTGCTTTATTCATCTTTGTATCTCCTGCATGTATCACAGTACCTAACAAACAAAGTGTTCCAAAATAATTTATTGAACAAATATTGCAAAGATTTCTGAGTAAATATTTGGACTTAGATTTCCCATCATAGGGCTTCATAAACATTTTAGCTACCAGAAAATTTCATTTTTTTCTTTTCCTTGTGAATATAAATTATATGCTTTCAGATTTGCTACATGACTCTCATCTACACAAAAGATGTCAACAATTTTTAAAAAGAGAAAGTAGCCAGGACAGGGAGGCAAGGAAAAGGAAATCCTATTATTTTATTACCTCACAAGTGATATTGGTACTGGACTAAGTATTTTAATTTTTCAGGCCTTCTGGTTTATATCTTCAAAGGAGGATTTGTGCTAGTTGCTTTTCTGGTGAAAAAAAAATAGATTTCTTTCAGCCATTTTGTGCTTTGGGGACTATGCAGAGCTTCAAGATTTAAGACTCTTGTCAGCCTGAAAGGTCACAGAACAGGATGGAAGATCCAGTTGGCTTTTTGTTTTTATTCACTTCTTCTATTCAGCTCTCATCCCACATTTGTGAGAGCTATCAGCTCCTGCACATATAATCTTATTCTTTTCAGTCTTTCTCTCATCATGTCAAAAAAGGCATTCCTCTGTTCATAATTTATC